AATCACCTTGGCCAAGGATTTGATTAAACTAATGTCAACTAAGAACTAATGAGATATTTCCTCTTAAATCACTTGGGGTGATGATTCTTATCTTGACCATTCATTAGCCTTCATATATTCCATACTATACCCAAAAGCATCTTGTTTTAGCATCCTTAGTTAGGCACCTATAGGGATGAAATCAAAGTATAGTACCCCAAATACAAGACAACTTGGTGTCTTAGGTCTAGAGAATAGTTACACAACTAACACATGAGCAGTATTGCATAGACACTTAAGTGAGGTACCCAATGCTCTTCTCATAGTGGGTCATGTTTAATGAACTTGCTCTCCCATGGAAAGCACCCATATATTAGTTTCAAGTATCTCTATACTTCAACCTATGAGAGCAATTGCTTACTTCACAAGTAAAGAACAGAGCATGTGCTAAGCTTTGAGCATTATTGATGCCAAGCCTCAATAATACATTGATCAGGAACTTTTAGGAACAATGTTTCAAAGCATAAGGATCTTATAATTGTATCCTAATACAATTCCTTTGCAAGGCATAAATAGCTCCATAGGCTTTATTTACATATGTACAAAAAGCAATTAAATCGCAAATTTATAGATAAAGAACTACTTTAATGTTATTATGATTAACAAAATGTCATACATGAATATCTAAAAATTGCAATTTCCATACAACCACAAATTAGCTTGTAGGGCTAATACTGATAGAAAGGAGATCAAAAACAATTAAAGAAATGGTTTGTTGATTTCCATGACTGGACTACCGATATTGATGTTAGGAGAAAAATATTTTGGCTTACATTGTCTGGTGTTCCTCTACACGTATGGACAACTACCACTTTTCAGACGATTGCGCAAGTATTTGGAGAATTTGTATCATAAGGGATAGAAAGTGTTAAGCTTGTGTCGTTCGAAAAGGCATTCATTGAGATAAAGACCCTTAAGAAAGATAGAATCAAGGAGAAGATAAGGATGATAATATGAAATAGAGACTATAAGGTGTTTGTGACTGAAGTGTTCCTTAATGTAGAACTTGAATTTCTATTGATTCATCTTGTAATGGATGGGACATAAAGTTTATAAAAAGCATTCAATCTATTACTAATGTTATGTGGGTGGATGGATGTTGCTTTGAGGAGTGTGGTAAAGATGACGACAAAGTTGTTTTAGGGAACTTGATGGCAGTGGATTTCAGTGAAGAGCCACAGAGAGATGTTAATGGGAGAAGACATAACTGCTTCAATAGAGGTGATATGTGAGGTTCCACTTTTAGAGCTTTGTGGTCCTAAGGAAAAGACATATGAGCCATCTTTTTCTGATGAAAGCTTGAAGATATAAGTGGGCTAGATTAATGACCTATATAATAAAGTGAGTTCCTTTGGCCCAAAATCTGAAGTAAAACATATGGGTGGACTAAATGATAACGTAAAGCCTATGTTTTTATTGGAATCGGACCATAGTGAAACTTAATGTTTAGGATGAAACACCATAACAACCTCAACTTTTAACTATAATTACACATGGGTCCACTAGTTTTTAAAGTAAACACTTCGCCTTGAAAGAATATCTTTCGTTGGACACATAAGTCCAGCTATTAGTCAATCATTAATATTTCTAGTACTTTGATGATGTGACATTATTGAAAAAATAATTTTATCCTTTATTAATTTTAAAAATTACTTAAATCCCAAAGATGAATGTGGAACCAACTTACAGATTCCGAAAGAATAAAAAATGATGATGTTAACGCATTTTGTTAAAATTATGGCAACTGACATAATGATCTAGAGTATGTATTATTCCCAATTACTTGTCAAGTTCTAGATAATGTACATGAAGGTATAAGGATTAGTAATTTTGTTACTCGAGGCAAAAAACTATTATTTTAAAGGATTTTCTCATTTTTTTTTATTGTTCAATTTGGAAAAAGGGATTTGAATTTAATTTTTGAACAAAGCATATATATACATATCATTAAATCAAATATTTGAATATAAAAAAAATCTTCATTTAGTAGATTAAAAATTTTATGTAATGTGTATCAGACACAATTTCAGAACTTTATCTTTTATTTTTTGCATAATTTCAGAACCTTTTTGGAAAAAAAACAATAAAAAATAATTCAATTTCTAACTGAAAATAAACCTAATTCAGTTGGCAATTTAGGATGTTGATTTGGAATTTGCATTACAAAAGTAACTTTATTTCCTTTGTAAGAAGTAGGTTTAGGTTACTCATAATGAAGAAGGGTGGATAAGTCACTAATGTGTACTGTGCATCCCATAATTATCTAAATATCAACATTTCCCCATTTTGTAGGATGGATTGATGATTTGGTCCCTCTAACAAATTGGTAAATATCCATCTAGTAGGCCTGAAATTAAGCCAAGTTCTGAGTCTGATCCCGCAGTAAATCTCTCAAACAGCATAAAAAGCAATGTCGTTTAGCGTCGGGACAACATTTGGTTGGAAAGTGCATGATAAACCGTTATTTCAGGTCCAAGGTTGTCCCAAGAACCTCAATTTCCTCAGAAACATTCTCTCATTTATAGCCAAATGAAACTCACCACCCAAATTTTTGAATCCTTAAACTGAACATAACCCTTCAGCTTCTTCTCTCTCCTCATCTCCATCCTCGTACACAACTGAGAGCGAGAGAGGTCATGATCTTGGTCTGCTAAACGCCACCCAGGTCATGATCTGCCATCTCACCACCCTTTGAGCACAAAATTGTGATCTGCATTTCAATCTTTATTGTTCCCAAAACCATCAGAGACAAGGCTAGGGCTAAGCTCACTTCCTTTTTGCTCCTCTTTCTCTGTGTTTCAACTCTTTAGGAGATGGCAAAGCGAACGTTTAAGCAGTTTGTAGAACAAGAACTTGGACAAGTCCTTAAGTTTTTTATTTATGCAGTGCTGGAATGGATAATGATACTTATTCTGTTCATTGACGGGTTTCTTGCATTTTTCGCAAACGAATTTGCTAACTTCTTTGAGTTGCCTATCCCTTGCTTGCTTTGCACCAGGATTGATCATGTCCTTGTACGGAGAAATTCTGATTTCTATTACAATGATTCCATATGTGAACATCATAAGAAGAATGTTTCAACTCTTGCATTCTGTCATGCTCACAAGAAGCTTTGTGACATAAGAAACATGTGTGAGAGCTGTCTTCTTTCCTTCGCAACTGGGAAAGAATCCGATTGTGATACTTACAAGTCCCTTCTGGGGATCTTACACAAGGACATTGAGTTGTTTGTGGATGAAGATCATGAAGTTCATCTGTCATTGCCTGCTGGAAAGAAGGAAAACGAAGGTGCCCTTGAGAAGAGCCATGATCATCTTTGTTCATGTTGTGGGGAGCCATTGAAGGTGAAATCCTCCTATATAAAAGGGAAGCATTCATCCCTCGCTCCAGCTCCATCTCCCCGGGCACCGGCCAATCCAAATTTGGATTTGTCACACATAAAATATACGGAGCTCAAGCTTAACTCGGATGAATCAGAGGTTCAGGAGGATAATGATCGCTCAAGGGGAATAAGCCTTGAAAAGCCATGTGAGTTTAGAGTTCAAACTACTAGTATTATTCTGTTTCATTTTCCATTATTGTTTTTGACATTTTTAATTAATTGTGAAATGATCGCTTTGCCTTTGCGTTGTTCGCGGAACTCTTTCTTTCTTCCTAGCTACCATAAATTATCAATGGAAAAGCTCCAATAAAGAATGTTCCTGTGACATGTTGAGTCATTTTACTGTTTTGATTCAACAGTCGAAGATGCCAAGGCTGCTACAGTACCATTGCTGATGGATGCTGATGATGAAGATAAGACCCCAAACTTTATTAGGGGAAACAAGTTTTTCGGAATCCCGCTGTCGGATTCAGCAACCAACAGTCCCAGATGGACAAGAATTACGAGGAAATCACTGCTTGAGAAAACAGAGTTTGCTTCAGAATCTGGAGATGGGCCAGTCCCAAATGAGGCAGAAGGTGATATTTTGCATCATTTGAAGAGACAAGTTCGTATGGATCGCAAGTCACTGATGGCTTTGTACATGGAACTGGATGAAGAAAGAAGTGCATCTACTGTTGCAGCCAACAATGCAATGGCCATGATTACCAGGTTGCAAGCTGAGAAGGCAGCTGTTCAGATGGAGGCCTTACAATACCAGAGAATGATGGAGGAGCAGGCAGAATACGACCAAGAAGCCCTACAAGAGATGAGTAATTTTCTGGCCAAGAGAGAGGAAGAAATTAAGGATTTAGAGGCAGAACTTGCGGCTTACAGACAAAATTATGGATGCTTAAAGGAAGTTGATTTTGAAGGACAAGGAGAAGAGAGCGATGGGGGCTACCGAGTACTAAAACCACCATCTTACTCATCCTATAATGGAAGAACTGAATGTACCAGCCCTACTCGTAGCCTTAGTGAAGGGTCCAATACTGGGGTAAAAGCACAGAATGATTATCAGTCTGATTCAATGCAGGATGAGGTCGGAGGGGAAGCCCCTGACAAATCAAAGAAAGCCTCTCAAGGACTCCGTCATTTGGACCGGTTGAAAAATCTGGATAAGAAACCGAAGATTTCACCTTCATCGGATGGTGGGGATGTTTCCCCAAACTCTAGTAGTGAAAATGATGACTACGTGGAAGACGAGACAGGTAACATGCCTACAAAGCCACAAATACAGTACCTTATTTTCAAAGCCGCCGAGATGGGCTTTGAAATTTTAGTCTGATGAAATCGTATGGTTGTGCCCTTTTTTCAAATGAACATTCTTCAGGCTTTGCTTGTATAGGTCAAGCTTCCTTTTCCCATCTTTAAAGATCAATAATTGTATCTGCATTGTTCCAGGAATTGGAAGTAAAGCGATCCTAAAGAGTGAATTGTCCCGTATCAGTGAGAAGATTGAGGCCCTTGCAGCAGGTGGTGACGGACTCCTGAAGCATGTTACTGATCTTACAAACGAAATAGGCAGCGACGGAACAAAACTATTAACAGAATTTTCCCAGAATCTGCAGAAGCTTCAACACTTTGTAACAACGTGTTATTCTGAAAGCGAAGAGGCATAATTATCTTCCAAATCATCAGTGGTAAATGTTTATGCTCCCAATATTATCATCATCAGGCTGATGACATGATAATTAAGCCAAGTTCCTTGTTTAATTAACCCCCTTAATTCAAACCACTGCTATGAGAACAAGAAAACAGATGTTCTTAACCAGCAAATGCATGACCACTTGCTACTCAAAAAACGTGGCAGATATTACTTTAATGGTCTTAGGTTTTTGTTAAATAAGTACTTCTAAGAAACTTGTATAGACAGTAGTATTGCTAAACTATATGCTCTTTGAAAGTAAATTAAGATTCAACTAATTGCTACTAAATGTTTTGTTTTTGTTTGCTCCTTTTTCCTTTTAGGATGTGCGTAAGATTCCTACTCGATCGTTTTGGAGCTCTCCGCTTTTGGTGCCTTCGACTAAAGTAAGAAGTCCATTGCTATAACTTAAACTTAATTTTGGGCTTTAGTTGTAAACCACAAGGTTTCCAACTTTTAAATTTATTTATTAATGGAAGTGATAATATTTAGTTTGTTAATATTGTATACAATGACGATGCATTGAATATAAACTGGTGTCCAATCACAGGACCAGTGCTAACAGATCATTCTGCAGGACTGGCAGGAACGACTTGGGGCAAGCAAGCTTCTGACCTGCCATGGAATCGATCATCTGAGATTTTAGTTGAAACTTGAAATTAGCGGTAGCCAAATGCCAGGGGGTGGAAATGGTTATAGACTTATAGTGCTTTGAATATGTCGTCTTCACTTTGCATATTGTTGTTCTACCAGAGTAACACTTGTAGGAGATTTGTTGGATATGAGACGAGGGGAAGATAAGAAAAGGTTCCCCCATATTTTTCAAAGTGCTGCTTTGCTTAACCGGAATGATAATGGTTTCTTTCCTCTTTGTTTTTCTGGTTTTTCTCTTTTTCTTGCAAAGGAAGAGGAAATTCCAGGAATGTGATAACAAGTCCTGACAAAGGGGATGGTAATAACGTTTCCTTTATGAGCTGTTTGAGCAGAAGCCCACCTTCTCAACTGCCCCTCATAAAAACCTGCACCATCCATTCAGAAGAATGCATTCACCAAGCGAACATATAATTCACTTAAGAGGAAAGTCAAAGAATAACTAGTCGTTTGAGAAGAGAAGTGCCACAAGAAGAAACAGCTCTCACAAATAATCAACATTTACAAGAAAAAAATTGGAACATGCATGATGATTTAAACTCGTAATAC